GTTAATCTTTTAGGCTTAATTTAACTTAGAGCCACATCATGATGTCTGTCTGGAATGCCTCATACACGCTGGATAATGCAAATATGGCTTCAACTCTTGCTTGCCTACTTTGAGAATTAACCTTGTACATGATTGACCTAAATGTGTCAGTATTTGGGAAGTAGAAGTGGATTTAAAAAAAAAAACAATTTTAGCTGTGAAAATAAGATGTCAAAAAAGCTAACCTCTGCATGGCTCTGTTATTTTCCATCTTGCGGTATTCCAACTTGAGCTCAGATTTCACTGTTTTGTGCCACTGCATAGTATCCAGAACAACAAGAACAAAACATTTATTTCATAAATGAGAAAAATGTTGATTGAGTTTAAGACTTGGAGTTTTGACTCAGTTCCTTATGAAAGTACAAATCTGTATATTTAAGCACAAAAATTGGCGCATTTGCTTTCAATGGTTTTATATAGACCGAGAAGCCAGAATGTGAGCAAAATGTGACTTATGTTCAAATCCTTCAATGCTTTTATGTTGTTATTCCCAGAATACACTCCCTCATTAGTGTTTGTGTTCTCATTTGTATGTTACAGTGTTAGCGGCATATATTATGAAGAAATGAATGAAAAAGAAACGAAAACTCCACTTACAAAAAAAGTGCTGCGGTAGCACAAGTGATGTTTTAAGTTGTAATACCACGGTACTTTGAGATGGACGTGTGGCCCACCAATAATGTGCTTGTTTTTCAGTTCATGAAAGGTAACTTTGGAAAGCAGTGGTGGGTAGCATGTCCACATTTTCCCGTCCAAGTGATTTGACGTCACTGATTTTGGCCTTTTATTTATTAACTATCTGTGTATTCTGTTCCAGCTCCCAATCGCTCACTGAAGCTGTGACTGTGAATAGTTAGCAGAAAAACAACCTTGAGGATGTCCTCCATTCTTGCTTAAATACCTTCATTCAGGCTTCTCTTAATCTCGCAAACACAGATGTAGCCACTCGAACACGCTATTCTGATCGTCCACTCGAGGGGCCTGTTTTCTTCTGCTTTTGTGTCCTCGGTAAAAGTTCCCCCTCCCCTGCTTGCGCTCGCACATTCACACTTTACAGCAGAACGGAAGGAAATTGAGGTCTGGATTGCTGGAAAATATTCTCCCGTTGGTTTGCTGGCTGGAAGACTATTGGAACCTCTTGTAAGCTGAGTTATGTTGAAAAGAGAGATGCTGTTTTTCATTTTCTCATCCTCCATTCTGTCGGGTTTTGAAAATGCTAGTTCAGTGGAAACATTGCACGCTGCAATAATTTGCTGTTCTGAATCACATATTGATTCACTACTGTTCAAAAGTTTGGGATCAGTAAGATTTTTATTTTTTTTTTCCAGCAAGAATGCATTAAATTGATGGAAAGTGACCGTCAAGAGATTTATTATGTTACAAAAGCTTTCAATTTCAAATAAATGTAGTTTTTTAAAATCTTTCTATTCATCAAAAAACACTGAAAATAACAAAAAATATTAATTAGCACAGCTGTTTTAAACATTAATAATCATAAATGTTTCTTGAGCAGCAAATCAGCATATCAGAATGATTTCTGAAGAATCATGTGACACTGAAGACTAGAGTAATGATGCTGAAAATTCAGCTTTGATCACAGGAATAAATTACATTTAGATTCGAATAGAAAGCCAGTCATTTTAAATTGTAATAATATTTCACAAATATTTCTGTTTTTTACTGTATATTTGACAAAACAAATGTAGCCTTGGTGAGCATTATTTTATTTTTTAATAATTTAAATCTAAATTACAACATTGCATTGATGCAGTCAGGTTTTTAATTCCGTCTTCCTATTATATTATCTCCTACAGTTCAGTTAATAGAAAAACTGGTCTTTAAACCAGCATTGTAAGGTAGCTGAGATAACCATCCCTACTCCAATACACATGTAAAGATCAAAACATCACTGTACGTTATGGTATTGTTAAAGTTATTATACAGATAAGTGACCACACTGAGAAATGCCAGTTTATTAAAACTGCTCGTTTCTTTATTAGTTGAACTGTGGGATAATATATGAAAAGGCACATAAATCAACATGGATCTAAAGTATTGTGAAAAGCAATATCATGAGAAAAGGAATTGCAGTATTGATGATTGAATCAGTGCAGCCCTGATTAGACCTCATGATCTTTTCTTATTTGTTTCATCCGTTCTCTTCCCAACATATACACATCTTCGTCTCGTCTCAATCATCTCTGTCTCCACTATCACCCTCTCTGTTTGTCTCAAAGGACTGCAGGGGGTTGTGAATCAAACCTGGCTGCTATCTCAGGTAAATTAGAAACTCTGCCTGATCAATATCTCATCATTCTATGAACGTCTTTCTGCTTGGTTTCTCCTTCTTCACTTTCAGCACCACAATTTTCTGTCTGCAGAATACAGCTTTTGGTGGAGCTTGACCATAATGTATTTTGAGAGTTTCTTCCTTCCTTCTGTCCTTCCTTATTTATTTATGATTATTTATTTGCTTACTGTTTTTTTTTCTGTACATTTTGTCCAATTTGCCACTTTTGATTTGACAGTGGTGAAAGAACAGTAAATAATGGGAAATGAGATTCGCAGGATTCAAACTTGCTTGCTTATTTACTGTAGTTTTTTTGGCATTTTTTCCACTTTTGATTTGACTGTGGTAAAAGGACAGCAAATTATGGGGAATGTGATTCACAGGTTTCAAAAATGTATTTAATTAATTTATTTGCTTTATTTATTTGCTTGTGCTGTAGCAAATTATGGAATACTAGATTATTGGGATCCTAAGTGTCGGAACATGTTGTGACAAAACTGACAGTCTCATTTTTAAAATGGTTTGCTCTGGAGTGTAGACCAATGATGGGTTTATGGTTAATGATATGAAATAAGTAGACTTTTTTTTGTTTATTCAATTCTTTACTTGTCTGCCACAATCATGTTAATACCTTTTAATTATCTTCTTTTGGACGTTTAGCTAATCAGCTAATCTGGATGTGCTTTTAATGAATTACAATAAGCATTTCACAATAAATTATTAGAATTCTAATATCAAAAAATATCAAAAGCTCATTGTTCATTGGAAGGATTGCAGGTTTTCAGAAGGATTTGATTCTCTTGATGTGTGAGAGATCGTTCTTTGACAGCATGCCGACATTCCTCTGGATTTATGTCTCTCAGAGCCTGCAAATGTGCTCTCTCAGTTAATGAGTTACATCTTCACTGCATACCACGTATCTGCTCCACTCTGATAGCGCTCATGCCATTCGAATCCTGTTAGAGAAAGACAACACATGCTAATTCCACAGGCGTCTTTTGCAAAAGAATCGGCATGTTTGTCTTTTCTTCCTCACCTGCGCCTGATTGATTCTTTTGTAGCCTGTCAGAATCATAGACATTAATTATCAGGTGTTGATAACACATGATAAACAAAACTGTACAAAGCTTTGTTAGGCTGTTTTGTGGTTTGTTTCCTATTTGGCTCCAGGTAGTATTTCCGCTGTCATCAGAGAGTTGTGCATAAATGAGCGCAGCAGTGCACAGCAGACGTGTCTGTGATTTATATTACATTGATGGTGTTTCTTCAACGCAGCTTGAGCACTCGCTTTAAAACAGGAAATCTGCTGCAAATTTATTCCCTGTGGCTGTGTGAAAACAGCCTTTAACACCAATTAAAGTTTGAGATGACTTGAGTGACTAGGGGAAAAAAAAGGTGTAAACATTTATTTTTGAGAGCTTTCCCGCTTTTAACATTTCTCACACAGCCGTTGAAATAATGCAATCTGTTTCATCACAGCTGAGAGTGGTGTTTGGCAGTTCTCGTTTCAATTTGTGACCTGTAAGAATGCTAAATGTAGCGAATGCCATTTTTAGGTATTCATTGGCTTGTTTATACTGATGTTCAGAGACTGATGTAAATTGTGCACAGCCAAGTGAGGGACAAAACAAATGGAAGAAGCAAAAGAATTATTAGAAGTTTTAATGACACGTGACATACCCTGCCTTGACACTTGATGTGCTTGATAACAGTGTGAATATGTAATTATTAATACCCACATTTTTATGGTTTAAATAATAATACCACCAATTTCTGTTATTTCCTGCATGGCTTTGCTAGTCTCTAGTATCATTCCACATTTTTCCTTCTCTTATAATAAGATAATTTATGCTTATTTTTATAATAAAAACAATAGTTTGTGTATTTATTTGTATCTGTTATTCCCTGCATAGCTTTGCTGGTCTCTAGAATCATTCCACCTTTTTTCTTCTTTTACAATAAAATAGTTTAAATTTAAAACAATACAAAAACAATAGTCTGTTTGTTTTTATTTATTTAATTTAATTCATTTAATTTATTTACTTTTATCGGTTATTTCCTACATAGCTTTGCCAGTCTCTAGACTCATTCTACCTTTTTTTTCTTCTCTTAGAATACAATTTTAACTTATTTAAACAAAACAATAGTTTTTGTTTTTATGTTTTGTTATGATCTATTTTTATTTTTTTTATTCATGTTTGTCTGTTATTTAATTATATCTGTTATTTACATAAGCCATATTTTTTTTCTTCTCTTACAATAATATAATTTAAAATTAATTTGTTTTAAATAAACCAATAGTTTGTTTGTTTACCTATGTATTTTAGCTGTTATTTTTATTTATATCTATTTGTTGTTTATTTATATCTATCTTTTTATCAATCTGTTTCTTTATATTCATCTGTTATTTATATAGCCACCTTTATTTATTTAATTATTTATTTCTGCAAAATCAGTCATTCTTATAATAAACCCGTTCGAGATGACAGACGGATTGTGATCTCTGTTTATTTTCTGATGATGACCTGCTGAATGTACATTATCACTTATTTACTGTGTCATGTATCATTTATAACATGGACACTCATTTTTAATTTGGCTTCGGATGAGAATCTTGTTGCGGTGTGTTGCTGTCGGCCGTCTCAGTCTTCACGTTTGCTTTTCTCCAAAGGTAAGATGTCAGACGCCCGCGCCGTGCGCAAACAACAACAGCTCAACAACCTGGTTGCCATGGTGACGGAGCTGGCCCACCCTGGGCACACAGTGGTGGATTTCTGCAGCGGGGGGGTAAGTTGCCTTCTGACATTTTCAAAACGTCTTGGACTTTTTTCTGTTTTCTTACGAGAGTCTGTATGTGTGTCAGTAAGCATCTGTTCTCCTCCCTTGTCACCTCATGTAATCTTTGGGAGTGCTCTTGTTATTCTGTGCGTACATATAAGCCCTGATGTTACAGCCTGTGAGCAATAGGTCAATATTCTGATGGGTGTCTGTGTTCTCGTGAGCCGACTTTGATCTGATGAGCTCTTTGAGCTCTGTTTCTCCAAGATCTTTTGCAGCTTTCTCTTTCTTTGTTTTCTTAGGGGCACGTTGGGATTGTTTTGGCGTACACGCTTCCTAAATGTCAGGTAAGACTTTCTGATTTCTTCAAGTGTAGCAAGTTCAAGCTAAAGGAGTCAAAGAAGAGAAACTTCCTCCCAAGTGACCTCATTTGTTGACACTGGAAAAATAAACTGATTCCACTCCGTTTTTTTCCCACAAGATCTTTTTGGGAAAATTGTACTTTAACCAGAGCGAATAGGAAAATCAAGTCGGTACTTACTCTTCATTAGAATACTCTTTGAGCACTGATACACTTTTGATGGTTCAGTGGATTATTAGGTAGTCATTTAGATGTACTTCATTTTCTCTGCTGATTTTCTTTCCTTTTGATAAAATGGCTTTTCAAAGAAGATTAGTTTGAGGATCAATGAGCAGCTTTGCAATGGACCAGTAAACTGTAAGAGGTATTATATGCGGCATGGAGAAATATCCCTTTTTTTTTGTTATCGATCAGGTTATTCTCATTGAAAATAAAGAGGAGTCACTGGTCAGGGCCAGAGACCGAAGCTCTCAGCTTGGATTGACAAACATCGGCTTCGTCCAGGCAAATCTTGACTATTTTACTGGAAACTTCAACATTGGGGTAAGTGCTGCCTTATATTATACATATGCATGATATTTGTCTGTGAAGTGTTAGACAGATATTTCAGCAAGTATGTTAAATATATTTACAGACATTGTTGTTTTTAAGGTGCATAATTATAATACTCAAAAGTTCTCGCTATGATAATACTAACAGATTTAGGTGGCATTTTTATTCCTCAGTTATTGTTTTTGTTTTTTTGTTGTAGGAAATGGTTTGTAATTCATCCAGCATTTGTCCTATTTGTGCTACTGTGATTGTTTGATTTAATCATCATTGGTAGCACGATTTATTGTAAAACTTTTTTTTTTTTCTTTTCAGTTGGTCAGAACAAAACTGGCAGCCATGTTACTTACTTGTTCAGATTACATTTTCTTGTGAAAATTCTTACTTTGGAAATACTTCCAAGATGTAGTATCTGTAATTGCGAAGTACAGTGAACTGGTGCATTGACTGACAGCCCACACATAGACCTCAAAACATTAGATTCATCCGTGCTGAGGAGCCGTGCCAATGCTCAACCACAAATAACTGCAATTGCAGGTTTCAAACTGAGATTTACATTTACATTTAGTCATTTAGCAGACGCTTTTATCCAAAGCAACTTACAAATGAGGACAATAGAAGCAATACAAACCAACAAAAGGGCGAGATGGCGACAAAGAATTAGATTTTCAATCCCTTATTTTCAGCGTGCTCTCAGACATTTGGACCCCCATAGCCTTTCATCGATAATTGGTTTTGTAATGTTTGCTTACAACGTTTGTTCTTGCTATGGAACAGTTTCAATAATTTCACATTAAGAACATACATTTTTGCCAGAAGGTATAGGTTGTCCCTTCATTTGCATTGTAAAGCCTGTTTAAAAGAATGGATTCTGGCACTCCATAGTTGCAGCATGTTTGATTCTCCCTGCCATCCATATTAATTATGCTGTTAACCCTCATGTTTGTCGTTCATTTAATTTCAAAAGCGAGTGGGTTTCTCATTTCTGCATTTTGAGTGATGAAATTAACTCTTTGACATGAGCCTATCCAACATACCCAAACAGACTGCATTCAGTTTTTCCATAATTTTTCATTTGCTCAAGTGTTGTAGTCACAAACTTATTAGAAATGAGACAGCAAGTTTCTATTACAGAATCTAGCTGGATTGTACCTGTGTTAAGCACTCTCTGACCTTATTTAAGACAGACAGAAATATATTTGCTTTTTATAATATATTAATACTAATACTATTTATTTTTCATACAGCATTGGCAAACAGTTTTGGCTTGTTTCAAGCAGAAACCTCTCAGAATGTTGTTACAGTGTGCCAATGTGGTAAAAAATAAACTTAATGCAAGATATTTTATCTGAAAACAGTTTTCAGATAAAAATACTGATTAATAAACAGATTTTTTGCTGTGTAATCTTTGAGGGACACTGCTGTCTTTGTAATAAATGAGGGAGTATGTGCTTGCTGCAGTTCTTGTGTTTGTTTCTGGCAGTAATGAGATGTTTGGGCCTGCAGCCCTTGGCCTCATCTCCACAGAGAGCTGCGGATGCAGTATTGAGCTTCACACGCGGCCGAAGTTGGGGGATTATCTGCTGCCCACACAAAGGGGCTTTATCAAACCTTTACTGTTTCCCAAAACTAATACCTCTATGTAGAACTTCTTTTGGGAAACTAGCACAATCATAAAAAAAAGAACATGCAAGATTTATATCGAACAGTCACCTAAAACAAATTTGTCAAAATTACCATCCTAGGTTGATCTAGTTTTTTTTTTTCTTTCCCACACACATTTTCCTATGTGGAGGTGAAATATTCCTTGACTTACATCAGCAGTAAGTGATAAAAGTGTAATCAGACTATTTTAGCACCTGTGCAAGCGATAGGACATTTTTTTGATCGCATTAAGTTGTTAAACATTAACTATCTTCTGGTTTATAACATCACACAGCAGTGGATAGAGAAAGTGCTTGTCTCTAGATTCTTGAAAAATCTGAAAATATCAGGGACATTTTAAAATTGTGGTTTACATGCTTGAAAATAACACGGTGATATATAGATAGATATAATATATTATATATACATTTTTTTTTTTTTTTAGATAAGTTTTGTTTCGCTTTTATTTTGAATGTTTGAAATGCTGAATACAAAAATTACATTACTTTTTGTGTATCATTAGCAGTGCTCATGCAAACTAAAAAAATGCATTGACAAATTATACAAGCTAAGTGAGTCGTCCAAAACTTCAGAAGAGTAGAATGGATGAATTTGGTCTTTTATGACTAGTCGAGTACTAGAATATTACAAAATATTCCGGAAAGTTACAGAAACTTTGAGAATGTTACCATCCTTGCAAAAGTAATATATCTTAAAAAATGCTAAATTAGTAAAAAAAAAAAAAAACCCTAATCTGTTCTAAACCAATGTTTCATAATTATTGATAGCAGTTCTAAAAATTTAACTGAATATTACCTAAATATTTACCAATATATTGGAATTGAAAATAAATAGCATTTATTATGTTAAATAATAAAATTACCACAGAATTACCAAAACCGTAAAAAAGTAAAATGAAATTATGTGAAAGAAATTTTGGTTACATTGTGTAATTAGTCATTGAACTAGTTTACGAATCAGTCTAAATTTAAATAATTCATTGGTGAATATGTATGAATTTTAATGATTTTTATTAAAATCTTATACAGCAAATACAAGTGACCGAAAACATGGAAAAGTATTCAGATAGAAAAGATTGTTGACGTGTATGGGTTGAGTTTAAAGATTCAATCCACCATCGAGGAACAGTTAATATGAAAGATCTTGAAAGTGATTGTGTACTGTGTTGGTAATATAAGACAGATTGCCTTGCTGTTTAGAGACAAAGAGGTCTTTTAAGGCTTTGAATTAGAATTTTACCTCGTCTTTGAGTTTCTAAACTATTATCTTGCATAACTCCCATTTCATTAGCATAAATGATTAAAAGGCTTTGCTTGCTAAAGCAGCACAGCCAGAACTGTGTGTAAACAGATACATATTGTTTCCCAGAGGGTTAGATACGTGAAAATAGCTACTATTCCTTTTTTAAGACCGTCTATAATAAGGCTTGTAGCTACACCAGGGAAAAAAATGACTATAAACGTGGATAATGATGTGAAAAGAGAAGTTATGGGCTGTTTGCTCAGACTTGATTTGTTGTACCTGTTGAATGATGGTGAAACAAGCACACTGCTGTGTTCTGTGGCTGTGAATAATGAACTTGCATTGTAGTCATGAAGCTGCGCCTTCCGCACCTCAGGCAAACTACTTAATTATAAAGACAGAAAAGTTTTTTACCCCCATTGAAGGGAAGAAAAAGAAATATCATCAGCAAAAATGAAGTCCTGCTCCAAAAAAAGAAAGAAGAAAAAACCCTAATTAAGAAATATGCTTTTGCAGCATGCTTTATTATGTTGCCATCCAGTGCTGAATAAATTATACAAGGAAAAACAAGCATTGAGGCTGACGTTAAACTCTTTGTCAATGTCGTTATATTTTCAATGCTTTAATCATTTATTTTGTTTGCAGGATCCTTCAGTACAAGAGACCTCACAAAACTAATGCGAATTCCACTTTATTTGCTTGCAAAGGAAAAACAAACTTGAGCTTCTTTCCCATGCTAAACAACATTCATCTGATCTCTTTGGTGACAGCCCACAAGCTTTGTCTCATTATGAATGATAAATTCATTCTAGAGACAGAGCATCCGACATTCCGAAGAATGAATGTGATGTGTTTTTCAACCTCTTTCCATTTGTAAAAAAAAAAGAAAAAAAAAAAGAATCTGGCCTAATCGCTTTACCAAAGAATGCCAAGAATGATTTCATGTTAAGCTCAAGTGTAATTGCTTTACAGTATTATTCCCTCAGTAAACATTCACCCACAAATATTAAAAAACAATATTTTAAAGTTATTTTCTATTGACCTGTTCTCACTAAAAATTTTTGGATTTTTTTACATTTTATTTATTTATTGATTTTTGGTTTGGTTTGGAATTTTTTTATATGCTTTGGTTTCTGTTTTCCTTTTTTTATGGTTTTGTTTAGTTTTTTGCTTTGATAGGAGAACAGTTCATTTTGTGCACAAGAAGCATAAAAGCCAACAGTAATCATGCAGATCAAAAAGACACGATAATGTGTTTTAGATATATTTATACTTTATTGCAAAGCTCTATATTATTACTGTCAGTACACTGTTATTGTGTTAGTTATTATATCTCCTATTCCTTTATCATCCTATCACTATATAGCTACATAGAAGTCATGTATTTTATCAGATCTTGTATTTTGTGTTAAAGTGAGTAATATCTTTTCTCAGTTGTGCTACATCTTGCATTAAAGCATTTGCCAGAATACTTTTTCATTTTGCCTTTGGTGTGAATAGACTTGTCTGAAAAAGGCCTTATTGCTGTACTTTGTACCTGAAGTCGTACACTAGTTGTGCATTGATTTACTCTTTAAAGTCTCTTGTCCATCATTGTAGAATCTGTAGTATTGTTGCATTGCAATGATGTAGTTTTGTTGCATTAACTTCAGAAATTCACCTGCCGACGTCTTCAAAGCTCCAGGTTTTCACGCTCGATTTTGCTTGTTGTGGTGATGCGGTGCTCTGTTGTTGGCTTCTGACGTGAATGGATGGCCCCATTATGAGATGGTGGTCTACTTCAAAGAGCCGAAACCCTGCGTTAATGGATTCTGATCAGTACATAAGGGTGGCCCTTGAATACTCAAACACCTGCCCGGGGTTTTTGAGAATGGCTTTATTCCAGATCCTGTTGAAAAGACATTATGAATCATTTCTGTCTAATTAGCGTCTCAAGAACTTAATTACAATCCACACTGGACGCTTTGCCAATATTTCTTTTTCCTAATTTATTCCGTCTCGGCTTATAAAATGTCAGCTAGGGCTGTGTGTTTTCCCACACGGAGTTCACGGACATATTTCCTCCTCTATGGCAACTCCAAGCGGCATGTAAAGCGAATCCTCTGAGATTTGGCCACATTTCCCGGAAAACTTCTTATGGGGGATTTGAAGGGTGTTAATCCGTGGATTTGGTTGGCTGTGCGCGCACACGCTCACTGAGACAACAGTTTGCATTATTTGTTCCAGTTTCTCACCCTAACAGTGATGGATATAGGCACTGGTCCGTGAGCCGAGCCGAATGCTTGATCTTCACTTGAGCTTCTGTGACGACATCTAAGACTTTTCTTTACCCTCCATCAAGCTGTTCGATCCACTTTTTCTGCTAATAGGCAGAGAGACATCTGCTGTCATGCGGTGTCACAGTGGTGGGGTATGACTGCCGCTCTCTCTCGCTCGCTCTGTGCCTAAACCACTAACAGATCAATGAGAACACGGCTAGATACAGAAAGGTGGGAAGAGCTTTGAGATGTGTGGAAATGTGGTCAAGGACAGGCGGAAAGCAGTGTGAAGAGTTTAATCTGGTTGTCATGCATTGATTTACACCACCCTGAACACTGGGAAATAGTCTAATACACGCATTTATAATGATATAACAAATTTTATTTTACTTTTATTTGTTATGCTTTAGGTACAGCAACCCTACTGGTTTAAATGTCAAGTTCCTAGTAATGTAATCTTTTAGTCTTTCATGTTGGCTTCATACAGGTTTGAAAAACTTCTGTACCAGTCTCTAAATTTGTTTTTAATTTAATGACTTCAAAAATGTGTTCTGTGACTATCAAGTAATCAAATGTTTTCCATACACCTTTTTCTCCTCTTAAGTGTTTCATCCTTTTAATGAGACCTGTAAGCCTTCCCACTTTGGTTATACCTTGACATATTTTGAAACATATTTTGACATAAATCTGAAAATTAATTTAATTACGAAAATGAAAAAAAAAAATGTTTTCATACAAGTCACGTATTCAAGTCATTGTCTGTATATATTACATTTTTAATGCATGTTTCAGTAAATTAATTTGATTCAATTCAAGTTGATTTCATAACAGTTCAAAAGTTTGGGTCAGAAAGATTATTTTTTGAAGAAGAAATTAAGAAATGAATGCAGTCATCAGTTTTTCCGCCAATCGCAAGCTATCATTCTCCAAATCTGGCGTAAACTTTCATTTAATCTCAGGCAGGAATTTTGCCGCAGGGCATGAGCATCTGGGTGGCAAGAGCAGCGAGCGCAGGAAATAATTTTTCCGTGGTTGTGTTCACGGTGTTGCCATGACAGTGATTTGTCATTTGTGGCATTCGACAGTAGACCAGCAAGGGCGACCTGATGACAGACAGTCAATGTACCAAACATTACCTACCACACACATAATCTCCAAGATTTTCGGAGCTCTTTATCATGCAAGTGTTACATGAGACATCCTGCTGTTTACACACGGCTTATTTCTGCAACCAAACCACTACGTGCGTTTGGGTTTTTTTTTTGTCTGTAGAGAATGTTTTCAGCGTCTCCTTTGATCCGAATAGATTGTCCTCTCCTTAAACTTGGTTTTTTTTCTTTAACGTGTCGTGTCAATTTTCATTCGCGCCTCAGTGTGTGTGTGAGTTCATTAAGTCTGCCCCCCTCTGTCTCTCTCCACAGCGCGAGGTTTACAGAGACTCTGAGCTATAAGGTAAGTGTTTCACCGCTCGCTTTCACTCTTTTCATTATCGTCTACACGTGTGGGACGTCACACTGCCTGATTCTGAGGGCAAGACTCTTCTGAGAAAACTTCACAGGAGAGCCTCATAATGTGCCTCATGTATGTGAAGAGCAGTGTTTAGTCATGTTCAGCTCATGACTGAGAAGAGGTCATGACAATGTAATTGGAATGAGTCTTATTAGCCCTGTGTGTATATATATATATATATATATATATATATATATGTATATGTATATTAGCTTTAATTTATATTTGATTACTTTTGTACTTCTGCTTAATTTTTTTTCTACTTTTTCATAACATTTATTTCAGTTAGTTGCCAAGGAAACATTGCTTATTTTTCATCTAATATTGTTTAATTTTTTATTTTTTCAAAAATAATAAAAACATTTATTGAACAAACTTATTTACATGATGTTCAGTTCTTTTAATAGTTCTTGAGCATGGATAGAAAGTTTGAAGTAGAAGTTAGAAATTCTGAGTAGCGAATCTGCAGTCTGCATTAAATTTTAGATAAAAAAAATACTACAGCATGTTAAATACTATAAATAAAATACTATATCTACTATACTATATAACTCGCAACAAATACAGTGCCACTGGAGTCATAGATTAGTCAGTCACAAATCAAATGTACCAAAAAATAAATAAATCGTTATTGAATCACTGAGTTGGAAAATGTTAAATTCTTTATGATTCTCTGTTCTAGTAAGAGAGGATTTTTTTTTTAATAATAGAGAAAGCCATATAGATTTAAAGTATCGACCAGTGTTTATTAGCATAAAAATCAGCTAACACTTTAGATTAGGGAACATATATTCACTATTAAGAGTTGTCCTTCAATAAACTCTTCATTTGCTGCTTATTGATAGTAAGTAAGGTAGTTGTTGTAGTAGTTATGTTTAGGTATTGGGTAGGTTTAAGGGATCTAAAATATGGTCATGCAGAATAAGGTATTAATGTGTGCTTTGTAAGTACTAATAAACAGCCACTTTGCTAGAAATATGCATGCTAATAAGCAGCTAGTTAATAGTGAATTGTTTCCTAATCTAAACTGTTACCAAAAATGATAGTTTCAACCAAAATTTCTGTACCAGTACATCTCTAGTCATAACTATAGAGGACAAAATAGAAGCAGAGATGAATCTCCATCAGCTCTTTGCTCTCACAACCAACTTTGTGAAAATGTTACTGTACAAGAAGTACCATAAGCCAGTGTTTTTCCTTCTCTTCAAGCTCTGCTGAAATAGGGTATTCCTGGGAATAGAGTGGCCATGTAGCCTACTGTAGTTGCATGTTGTATTTTTCCCAGTCTTATCCCCAGGCACTGACGGCACAGTGAGGCTGAAGTGTGAGTAATGGATGAGGTTAATGAGTCGTATCTCACAGTCATCAGTGTTCGCTTGACTCCTGCATCTGCCTCTCTCACACTGCGCTCATGGCCCCTGCCAAGATATCACCTACATAGGGGCCTACAAGAGACAGGCAGTTCCCTGAGCGTAGATCTAGAGCAAACAGACATTTAATTAGTGGTGTTTACCAAAACAAACATCGCTTTTGCTATTACTATTGGAATTTGAACAAACTGAATTATGAATTAAACTGTTAGGACTTGTTGAGGATACTGTAAGGTGTGATATTACTTTCCTATGCTATTACAGACATAGCAAACCTGGCAACCACCCTTAACACCGTTGCAACTTTGGCACAGCTAAATATCACTCAAAATTTTATCTACACACAGTTTAGATGCATATACTTTTCTTTAATTTGCAAGAAGTCAACTGGTTTGTTAAATTTGACTGGATTGTTCATTGCATACTATTACATACAGTGATTGCATTGATAAAATGATTTCAGTGCATTGAAATTCCCTACAGAAAAATCTATATTATTTTAGTTGTTAGGACTTGATTTGATTTTGATTTGTTCAAAATGAAAATAAAAAGACAGATTACCTGCGCTTCTTTCCAAACTAGCATAATCGATGCAATGTTTCTCATCGGTACGAATACTAAACATGCTTTAGAAACACTTTACTGTGTTAAAGCCTGTTTTTGAGACGTACTGAGTTATAGCATTGATCGCAGCTATTAGCCTAGAGGATTAAACTTGATAGGAGGAATCAATCTGCCAGGGCTGTTACATTCCTTTCCATCAGCACTTGTTTCACTCAGTTAATGCAAAATAATGGTTGCTTGAAGCCATCGTTGGTCATCAACAGCAGAGGAAGTCGTTTTGCGGCACTTCCTTGCAACGTTCCCTGCAAAAAATGCAATTAGATTATATTGATTAATACAAAATGAACTGGGTGCTGCTTTCCTCTGAGTTTCCCTTTAATGGATGGTTGTAATGGTTGATAAATGGTCTGTTCTCTCACCACAACCCTAACAATCTGATGCATCGATATTTCTCTGCAATGTACACTAGCTGAGTCACACGCATACTGTTTATCAGATATTTTTGTTTGTGTATGTTTATGTGCATGTGTGTTTATTGACGTGTCTGCATGTGTTCGGTATGCTATATGGTTTCCACAGGAGCACATGGTCCTGTGCAGGTTTGCAGACCAGACGGCTGTCAGTTTACCCCCAGAACGACGATTAATCGGTAAGATGTGCGTTTTTTTTAACAGGTGGTCAGAGTTGTTGTGCCTGTTTTGCTTTAGGATGGCAAATTCCTAATAGAGATCGTCCATATGGCTAAAATTTTTAGGCCAGAATAAGCGGCAGTGTTGACCAGTGTTGACTATTATCATTAACTAAAATGGAAACTAAAACCATGAAAAATGTAGATATTTTTTGTTATTTGAAATAAAAGAAACATTAACTGAGAATAATATTTATGTGTGCGCACACACACACACACACATATATATATATATGTATATATATATATATATATATATAACACATAAATATAAAACATTTCATTTCAGGTAGTTGCCAAGGAATCATTTCTCATTTTATTTTAGTTTAACTTGAAGTATTAAAATAACAAATATCTAAAATTAAAATTAAAAACTATTTAGAAATAAAAATGACAAACACACAACAAAATAACTAAAACTATAACTAAAATTAAACGTGTTGGTATGTAATATTGAAATGGGTACTGCAGTCCAAATTCAAAATATTAGAGTTGTTTCTCTCTCCCCCTCAGACTTGACGCTCAAATGGGTTGCCAGATTGAAGACACATAACGGGAATGAGTGCAACTGACAATGGAAGTTGATGAGTTGATTTATCCGCGTTTTAATATGCCTTTGGTCAAAGAGCTTTTTCGATGGATGCCGAGGCTTTTTAGGTCAGGTAGAATCTGCGATCTCTGACAAAGTTCGTTTGATGGCTTCCATGGCTGCAATACGCTATGTTTTCCACCAACTGGCAACCTGGGGGGGTCGAAATACTATTAAACTGGCAGTGGGCAGAATCACAGACCAAAACAAAAACAGACATTCCGACACGGAACACACATTTCAAACTAGAATAACTGGCTGTAGCACTGTTTTTCAGAGAAACAAATTTGTGAACTTAGCAACTTGCAAAAAAAAAAAAAAAAAGTTACATTCTGCACCTTTAAAATGAAAATGGAAATTATAAAAAATAAAAACAAATTCAAAATATTCATAAAAACTAAAATAGTTATATCAGTAATACTAAAATAACACTGTTTTTTGCACCAAAGACGAGTATAATGGTTCAGTGTACACATTTGAGACAAAATACTAGTTGATAAATTGCAGCATGGTTAATTGTTTGCTCTTCCATTGGACATTTAAAAACCTTTGTAAATGTTTCTCTGGACCAAAAGCACTTGTTAGGTTACCAATAAACCCTTAAAAAGCGTTTCAGTTGAGTATAAATGGTGAATCTCTAACAATGTATAAAACACTGTAGTGAGATCAGACACATCTCTCCGCTCGGTGACCTCTCTCTCTCCATCAAAGTTCTCACTACACACATTCAGCTTCACAGTCTCATTGTACTCTCGCATAAATCTGACGCCACTGTCATCTTTCCTTCCACTGCCCATCTTTTATAGCTGGCGAGATGACAGCCTCTCAGCCTCTTCACAAAACACATGCTAACCAGCGCCGGTGCCTCTGACGTGTCAGTCAAAGCTGAGACTTTCCAAAGGCTTTCAGAGCTAGATATCTTTGAGTTTAGATGAGCTAATAATTACAAATTGATATGATGATAAAGTTTGTCTTTAGTGTGTTTTCAAAAGGCACTGCTTTAAGTTTTACTGTTTTATCCCTGAGATAACAGAGTAGCTCTAAAGAAATGTCTGTTATTTTGTAAATTTGAAAGACCTTTCTGTTCATCAAATAATCCTAAAAAAAGTATCATGGTTTCTATAAATGTATTAAGAAGCACAACTGTTTTTAACATTGATAATAATAGTAATATTTCCTTCGCATCAAATCAGTATATTAGAATAATTTCTGAAGGATCATGTGACACTGAAGACTGGAGGAATTATGCTGAAAATTCAGCTTTGCATCACAGGAATAAATTACCTTTTCAAATAAATATATAAAATAGAAAAAAGTTATTTTAAATTGTAATAATATTTCACAATATTACTTTTTACTGCATTTATGATCAAATAAATGCAGCCTTGGTAAACATTTTAAAATCTTTCAAAAACATAAAAAATATTACCAACCGTAAACTTTTGCAAATTCATGTAAGCCCAGAAAATTTAGCAAGGATACCAGAAATATCTTTTTCATCCACTTTGAAGAATAGAACTTTAAGGAAAATTTAGACCACTTTTACAGCTAATTTAACACATATTTGTACTAACTGCTTAATATAAGCACGTTATTAAAAATGTGAGCTACACATTTATGCTTTTGCACCCTTTGGAGTGTCATTGTAAGTTATAACATATATTTATTTTTGGGTTTTTTGCAGATTCAAGGTTAAAATGTCTGTGGTAAAACCAGAGCATTAATTTATTTCATTGACTGATAATAGAACTCTTAAAAAAAAAAAAACTAGTTAGAAAGTACATTTAGGTTTCAGTAAAATTAATGAGTAATGTCTTCAGCATAGATTTCTGGCCTGTTCTCAATAAAGATAACGTTTCATAATTCATCTCATTTCCAAATCTAATTTCCTTAATCACCAGGGAAGCGCTGTATGGGACTGGTGGACTTGGACCGCAGTTGGGCCGCCGAGACTCATGGGTATTCTGTGAGGGTGATGACCATGGTCCCCGAGGGCTGCTCGCCTAAGAACAATATGTTGGTGGGGATACCGACAAGATAACACTGACTCATGAGAAATAGCCACGTTATGTCAGGACTACAAATACCTCCATGAACGGGAGTTCACTGTTTTTTGTATATTCCATGAGATGCTTGATGTTACTTCTTGAGTTTTTACTTTGGACAATTTATATTTGTAAGCATTTCATTTTAAGTGATAGTTCACCCAAATATTAACATTTTGCAGTCATTCTGATCTCCTTTTTTTTGTGAAACAAAAATGTTAGTCACTCTTTTCAATACAATGGTATGATGACAAGATTTTAATTTTTGGGTGAACTATTCCTTTAATTGTTTTCCTTTGATCCAAAAGCATTGATTGCATGGATCAATGTATTTGCACATACACACTTGAATCATGGTTTGATCTAATTGTGCAATCAGTATATTTGTTTTTTAATTCAGATTTTTAAAAGGCTTTTAAACTTGACTTCATCTTAACAATTAGAGGGATTTTTATTTCAGTAACATCTTGATTTACATGCCAGGGGTTTGTTTGTAAAAAGAGTAAAAAACCAGCATGCCCCTCAATAAATTAAACATGATTTCAAATGCCGTTTGCAAATGAGACACACTGAATTGTGTAAAAGCACCTTACACCCTTTCCTCCACCATTATCGTGTATTATGCACAAAACAAAGGAGTCTCAAAAGCCTGCTTTTCTCAAGTTATTACCAATGTAATTCTTCTTTTTAAACTTGACTTCATCTTAACAATTAGAGGGATTTTTATTTCAGTAACGTCTTGATTTACATGCCAGGGGTTTGTTTGTAAAAAGAGTAAAAAAACCAGCATGCCCCTCAATAAATTAAACATGATTTCAAATGCCGTTTGCAAATGTGAGACACTGAATTGTGTAAAAGCACCTTACACCCTTTCCTCCACCATTATCGTGTATTATGCACAAAACAAAGGAGTCTCAAAAGCCTGCTTTTCTCAAGTTATTACCAATGTAATTCTTCTCCCTCACAAGAAAGCAGAGACGTCGCTCTTGAGCTTTTGTCTCAGTGTTTGATTAAAAGTATTGAAAGTAAACATGAGGAGGTATTTATCGTGATTCCCTTGTGTCAGGGGTGGGAGAATTGGAGGGGTTAATATTTATGAAATGGTGCATGGATTAATCTGACCACGGTTATGAATATTTGATTAGGCCACGGCTCACACAAATGTCAAAGTCATGTTATTGGTCTACAACGTACGCTGATATATGAACTGTTCCCCCAGCTTTACTTTGCTGTGTTTGGACCCATACTGGCATCAAACTTGCCTCCGGTTTGCTCACTACAGAAGAGCCATGGACTGTCACGTTTGTGATATAGAGATGAGATCTGTTCCTCCGCTATGAGGAAGTGCACAACCTTTAAGCTTTGAGGAGACAAGCTAGCAAAGCTCATCTGAATTCTGCTAGCGGAGCCAATCTCTCTGAGTGTGAAAGACCGGAGACGGGGGCACCTTCCAAAGAGCTGGAATCATTTCAATGGGAAACTTTGCTTTTCTCAAGGATTGGCTCTGGGCCCTGACTACATGAAAAACAAATACATACGGTATAGGATAGAATGAGGCTAGATACAACTGCATTAATGTAATACTGGCATAAAGATATCGGAAGGTTGTTTCTTTTGTCTTTTTCAATGTCAGCAGAATTGCTGATTGTCAAAATAAAAAATATGATGTAATATGCCAAAAATCGGACATTGCCACATGCACAATGCTTGAAAAAAGGCCATGTAAAGCCCATACTGACGGCAAAAGTGTCGGTGTATGTAGAATTTTGGTGTTGAGCTTTTTGTTTTGTTTTTTTTACATAAAACATGTTGAAAATACTAATCAACAATCTTTTGCAGTACAGGCCTTTATGAAGGAGTATAATATAATGAAATGAACTATTCGCTCATTGAATGAAAAAGACATCAATTGGACGTGATGCAAAGTAAATCTGTCTGAATTTAGACCGTTTGGGTTTTGGTTCCTTTCCCATTGGATTAATTGCAATTTGGATGTATATATGGTCCTTTTCTGTATGCAAATTTTAATAATTCCCAGCAACCATTTTATATTTTATGGCATTTATTGAAAAGAAATATTGAATGCCGTAACCCAGAAATCACTATTTTCTGTATAGAGCAGAGTTACACAACAGAAGCACTATGCCCAGTTATGCTGCTGCTTTGCTTAAGAACTGCTTATGTGGGCGAAATGGTCCTTAAACTTTGGCACATAACTCTTCCCATACCATTTGTGCAGAAGTGAACTAAATGCATTAGTGCCCGAGAATGTGTATGAGAATGTTTAACTAAACAGTTGACGTTAGCCATTGACTTCCATAGTATGGGAAAAAATACTGTGGAAGTCATTGGCTACCGTCAACTCTACCAACATTCTTCAAAATATCTTTTGCGTTCAACAGAAGAAAGAAACTCGTGCAGGTAAATGATGATTTTGGCACAGTTTGCCCACCAACTGTCATTACAACTCTCTGATTGGTGGAAGTGTCTGTACAGCATCATGGGTAATGCAGTTTTTCATCATGAATTCAGCTTTTAAGCACAATTATTTTAAAAATAAGTTGAAATAATGTGAACGGATGGCTTCAACAAAAGTGTGTACCATTGAATAACAACCTTAGAATTTAAAGTAGGTCTATCTTTAGTTATTGTTAAAAAAAAAATTCTGCCCATGGAGAAAATTGAGTTTTTACTTCCGAAACCCAACTGTTTCAGTCTATAGCTCAAATCACTTACTTTTTGAGGAGAGGTGTGTTTTTTTTTTTTTTTTTTTACAAGTGATCAGTCTTATGAATTTCACATCGCGGATAATATAGCGGATGGAAAAAGTCCTTTAAGCTTGAGTTGAAAAAGGGGCCCCATGAGAATATCATATTTACTTGGGGTGGGCATTTGACTTGGATCATAAGCAACCACCTAGCAACCGCATAACAATGAGCTGAAAACCCACTCAACACCTTATCAACCATATAATGCTGTCCTGGCAAGCATCCACAACACCCTAGCGAGATTTGCTTCCTGCAGAAAATGTAAAAATGTCATTTTTATATCTGCAGCTCTTCACATGCTTTCTACAATGCTAATTAAAATCTGCTTGTGTAGCCAAGAACCCAAGAGGTAGAAAAGATGCATCAAGGGTGCTTAAAGCGCTTCTCTGATGACAAGTACATAGTGTGCTATTGCTTCCTTTACAATATCTACTGTTTCATCTCTACTTCTCAGACAGGAAAGTCAGTTTCTTCGGAAATATCAGAAGAGCAATGTGCAATTTCACCTATGGCCGGCTGCAAAATTCATGAGCAAATCAAGCCGCAATCCACCTTAAATTAATCTGTGACAAAACCTAATCAGAAAGCGCGGCAGGCTCTCCAGTTCTGAAGAGGTTGAAAATGAGTTTTTCTCCAGTGTCACCATTCATAGAGGCTGTGGACGGATCTCCATGAATTTATAGTGACTGTGTCTTTTCTTAACATATCTTGAAATGTCACTCTGTAGTTCATGTTCACCTGGACTGAAAATACACATGAAGCACATTTCTCTTTGACAATGATAACAAACTTTGCAAGGCATTATGGATTTAAAGCATTTAAAGGATAATGCAGCATATTGGTATGTCAGTGGATGTAGCCATAATCACTGAATAGTTTTACATCTCTATTGAAAAATTACACAAAATACTGCTAAAGCAAAGGCTTAAAGGCTGCTTTATTGAAGTCTTTTTGATCTTTTTCTTTGCTTCATCAAAATGTATGATTTTAATAATTTATTATTTATAATTGTATATTTTATTTCGAAAATGTGAAATATGTTTTCCAATAATATGGTACTGGTATGTTTTCCATGTACTGGATCTTTGAACTTCTTCCTTCTTCGGTCTAAAGCACATCAACATATTTCACTTTCTTAGCACTTTTCATTTAGAATGGAAATGAACAGACCTGCATTACAGGACATATGCTGTGTTTTCTGTGCAGGAGTCTTCTGTTCAGTTTAGACAAAGTTGCCAAAACTGAGTATATTAATAGGAACATATTATTTAAAAGCAAGCTGTTTTTACAGTACCATATTCTAGTGCTAATGGACATTCGCACCGCAGCTGAATGTAGACCAAATCTGTCCCCCAGCTCTCATGTGAGAAAAATTGCATCAAATTTGACATTTTCAGATAGGACCTAGGCCACTTTTTATGTATGGAAATAAATAGGACACATATCAAAATGTTGGCAATGTGGCATGTGTAAACATTCAGGTAAGAATTCATATTAATTTTTTGTCAGTTGAGTTCTGCATTTGTCATAATAATGTTCTTGATTTACAGTGAAGAAGACTGAATATGGGCAGTGCTGTGATGTCGAGGTTTTAGAGCTTGTGTGCTATATATCATTCATAATAGTAAATAATATATGTATTATAATGAAATTGTATATATATATATACAGTGGGTACGGAAAGTATTCAGACCCCCTTAAATTTTTCACTCTTTGATATATTGCAGCCATTTTGTATATATTAATATTAAATAACATATACAGTCATATTGAAATGATATGTTATTTAAAAAAAAATATTTGTATGACTTATTTTGACCATTTTTACTGGTAAATTTTACAAATAATTACAAAGAAACGGCACATTGGATTTAACATGTAAAAACGTTTTACTTCATATATAGGCCTACCTATGTATTTACAAGTACCTCAAGTATCACAAACGTCATCCATCAAAATAGTATACATTTATACTGGTAAATTTAGAGTAAATATATATTATACAGTCATATTGACATTAGATGTTGCATATACACATATAATAAACTTGTAATTATATGGGAGTAATAGGGTATGTGGAATAAGCGCTCCCGTCTCTCCTTATTGGGCGCAGTGCTCGTTCACAGGGTGTGGGGAGAGAGAGACACAGAGGAGCGCACCGACTCTGCGCTCCAGTACACGGCTCTCCAGCGGAGGAGCGCAGACAGACAAGCTGCCGGTCTTTCGTGGATGAACGGCAGTCTGTTCGACCCGCTTCAAAGCTTTGAATATTGACGGATCTAAACCTCACCATCATTCCCTTCCACACACAGGAGACCAGCGGCGACGTTTGGATACACGCACCGCACACACAGCACCGCTCAAGCACGGGGATGTGGATCATAAAGTTCATGCTGATTTGGACCTGCTGCTTCGGAGTGAGCGCGGACTTCGATGGCAGGTGAGACCTCAGTTAAACGGGTAGACGATTGAATCAATGTGTTGTAAAGAGTTTTGTAGAAACACATTTTAGTTTGTTTTAATAAGAGTAATTTTATGATTCCGGCTTTTCTTTTGTTTAAAGGTGACTTTAAAGTAAACTACTTTAAGATTTTAAACATTCTGTCAGACAAGGAATCTCTGTAACTGTAAAGTTGCATTATATCATCTCAAGCTAAATGTACAAAATATGTTGGACTATTGCTGGGCCTTTAAGGGTAACAGGGTTGACAGTTTTAGGGTTCAAATCAAATCAAAGTTTTATTTATAGAGCACTTTTTTAAAACAACAGTTAATTTATTATAAGCCATTACTAGAGTTCACTTCAAGGTGACACTTCAAGGTGTTTATTAGAAAGAGAATGATAATGCTGATATTTCTTGAAACATCCAGTTTTGAAT